TATGGACACACTCAAAAGGTTAAATAATGGATTTATTTATAAGGAGAAAGGTAAAGGAATAACCCCGGGAAAGAGGGAGAGAAACACAGGTTAACTAGGATGTCCTACCAGTTCTGCTGACTTGGACTCCACCGGCACGCTGAAAACCGTTTGAGAGTCAAAACAATCAGCTGCGAACCACCAGGTCGCCCCCAGAGCCCACATGTCTGGTTTTATCCCAACCTGGCTGTTCAGCTCCGCCCTCACGTCCCGGCGTGCTTCTTCTTGGTACTGATGGGATTTGGAGTTCCAGCATCTGGAGTAGGGGCGGAGTCCATGAAACCTGTACCTGTTGCACAATGACCACTGGCCCTCCTCACTGTGTTCCCCTCCCACATCTTATAGCCTCAATTTCGCATGCAGATTTTTAGGGTTTGTTATTAATTTGGTTTTGTCTGACCCTGTCTTTTGTCTCTGTCTCTAGTCTACATATAAGTGAAACCATCTGGCATTTGTTTTTCTCTTCTTGACTTATTTTGTTTAACATTATCTCCTTTAGTTCCATCTGTGTTGTCACAAATGATAAGAATTCATCTTTTTTATGGCTGAGTAGTATTTATTGGGTATATTTATCTCATTTTCTAACTCACTATGTATCCTTGGGCACTTGGGTTATTTCCATAGTTTATCTATCGTAAACAGTGCTGCAATGAACCTGGGAGTGCATCTATCTCTTCAGAATAGTGTTTTTGCATTCTTTGGAGCAGAATTGTTGGATCATGGATCTACTCTGAATATCTTGAGAAAACTCCATACTGTTTTCCATAAGGGTTTCATTCTCACCAACAGTGTATGAAATTTACTGGTTCTTGCCAGAATTTGTTGTTTCTGGTCTTTTGATATGGGCCATTCTCTCAAGTTTGAGGTTGTGGTTATGATTTGCATTTCATTGATATAGGTGACGATGAGTGTTCTTCCATGTGCCTGTTATCCATCCAAATGTCTTCTTCAGAGGAATGTCTGCTTAATTTTTCTGCCCACTTTTTTATTAGGTTACTTGTTTTCATTTTGTTGAGTTGTATGACTTCTTCACATACCTTAAATAGCAGCCCCTTGTCAGATGTATGTTGCTCACATATTTTCTCCCATTCAGTAGGCTGTCTTTTTGTTTTACTGATAGATGCTAGGAAGAATTTTAAAGGTTATTCAAAGTGATAAACAGTACAGTGGGAACAAGGATGGAGCTTGGAAAAGAAATGCAAAGAAAAAATAATAATTGAATTATTAGTTAGGATTTGAGACCAGAGAACATCAAAAATTTCCACTTCCTCATTCTCAACATTAGTCATTCATATTTTCTAACATTTTACTTTGAACTATCAATTGATATAAATGTAGAAAGAGCATTCCAACTCGTCAAAATAAAAATTGAAATTATTTTTTTATAGTTTATTTTTACATAATTTTGTACATTTTTTTTTCATCTCAATTGTAATCCATGTGGGTTTCCCTTCACAAAGTCAGCCATGTGCCATCACCATAGTCCTGTGCACTTCCCTCCCCACCCTGTTTGATCCCATTCCCCACTCTACCCCCACAAAATAATGTCTCTGGTATATGACTGTTCATTATTCTTATTATCTTGTTGCCTGGTCCATTATACTCCTGCTATGAGCGAAACCATCCGGTATTTTTCTTTTTTTTCTGGCTTATCTCATTAAGCATGATCTTTTCCAGCTCCATCCATGTTGCTGCAAAAGACGTGTTTCTTTCTTTCTTTCTTTCTTTTTGGTTGCTAAGTAATATTTCATGGTGTGTATTTACCACATCTTTTTAATCGAATCATCCATTTTTAGGCATTTGGGCTGTTTCCATGTCTTTCCAATTGTGAATAAAGCAGTAGTAAACATGGGGGTGCAGGTATCTTTTTGAATCAGTGTTTTTGTGTCTTTTGGGTAGATACCTAGGAGTGGGATTGCTGGGTTGTAGGGAAGCTCCATGTTTAGCAGTTTGAGGAACCTCCAAACAGTTTTCCATGTTGTACTAATTTGCCTTCCCACCAGCAGTGCAGGAGAGTTCCTTTTTTTCCACATCCTCGCCAACATTTGTTGTTGCTAGTTGTTTGAAGATGTGTCATTCTCACTGGGGTGAGGTGGTATCTCATTGTGGTTTTAATTTGCATCTCCCTTATTACGAGTGATGTTGAACATTTTTTCATAAGCTTGTTGGCCATCTGCATTTCCTCTTTGGAGAAGTGTCTTTTTAGTTCTTCTGCCCATTTTTTGATGGGGTTGTTTATTTTTGTTGAGTTTCATCAGTTCTCCGTATATTTTTGTGATCAGTCCTTTATCACTGGTTTTGTGTAAGAAATTTTTTTTCCCAATTAGTGGGCTGTCTGTTTGTTTTTTGTAATGTCTCTTTTGCTGTACAGAAGCTCTTTATCTTGATGAGGTCCCATCTATTTATCCTTGCCTTCACTATTGTGCCATTGGGTGCTCTATCTTTAAAGATGTCTCGGAAGTGTATGTCGTATAGTGTTTGGCCCATCTTTGCTTCCAGGTATTTTATGGTTTCCGTTCTTCTATCTAGGTCTTTAATCCACTTCGAGTTGATTTTTGTGAATAGAGTGAGGTAGTGATCTAGTTTCATTTGTTTTGCATGTAGCTTCCCAGAAACTGAAATTATTTTGCAAATACCTACTTAGCTGGTCCTCTGAAAACCAGCACAAACTGTATTGATAGTCATGTGGTCATGGAGGTATGCTAAGTTTGCAAATATAAAGTTAGTATTGGGAATCAGATAATACACTGAATAGTAAGCAGAAGAGTGAAATCCCTATAGGGAAACACCTATGTTGTAAAGTGGCCCCAAATCCTTTCACTGGAAGTCTTTCAGGAGCCTTTTTCTACAGTTGAGATTGTATTTTTCTTTCCTCTTTATTCTCAGCTTATTTTTCATAGGAGCTGTATTGTAGATTTGATATGTGACACATTAGGATTCCTGAGGAGCTCCCGGCAATATCTGAGAAAAGCATCCATTATTTTAATAGGTAAATAAATCATTTCCTAATTTATCTTAAAGATTACAGAATTGGGGAGTTTGAAGTCTTCCTTGAAAAAAAATGTATAAATGTTCTTTATTTTGGATAGCTCTTGTACTGGTGATATCTATGATGAGAATAAAATAAGATTTGATTTAAATACATAGTGAATAGAGCAGTGATGAAAGTATTATACAAGCTCTAGTCAACAAAATGAACTGCAAAATTTAACATGTTGGCAAATACTTATTCCTCTTAACTGCTTTAAAAATCACTGCTCAAAGAACATGAATCATAAATAGTATTAAAAATACAACTGGACTATCTTAAAAAACTTAAACATCTGTAATCACAAACTACAACAGATAAGACAGAACTACTAAATGCAGTCATGTGAGTATGTGTGTTTAATATAGCTGGGAAGATTCTAGGAGAAGAAAACTGAAGATTTTGATCTTGGCAAAACCTGACCAGACAAGTTTTTTTCCTACTAGATTCTCACAATGAAGATCAAGCTTAATAACCCTTTACTTGAAATGACAGGAAGTGACTTCCCAACTTCCTAGTAGATCTTCCTTTGACTTCTGCAAGATAAAGCTAATATAAACAGTCAAAAAGCACATTAAGATGAAATGTTTTGCAATAGTTATTCAGCTAGAGGGGGAATTTTTACTGTCCAAAGAATCCTTTACTAATGCATGAAAAAAGATAAATAATCTACTACTAGAAAAATGGACAAAAACATGAAAAATATAGCTCATAAGTAATCTTTTCATAACATCTAAAAAAAAAAAGTTGATTCAGTAGCCCCCTTTCAAGAAAATGAATCCTCAGTTGTATTCACATGTCAAAAACAAGGCTTATTGCATTTTTGCTCACTGGCTTGATTGTTCCATTTCTCCTTAGCATGTGGCTTTATCCTCAGTTGTGTTTTCTGATTACCTTCAATATTTCACAGTCTCTTACCATGGAAGATACGAAAAAGAAAAGGGCAAAAGATGTGACAACCTAATTTTACAAAGCTTTCTTCAAAGTTCTAACCAGTGTTTTATCTTAACAACCTGGAAGATCAGAGCTATCACACTGCCACATTTAATTGCAAGAGATGATTGGAAATTGGGATCTTTTTATATGGGGAAATTTAAAATGTGCACCATTTAGGTTCTTTCTTTTATTAAAAAAATATACTTAAACAGGAAAGAAGTGAGACAAGATATTGGCTTAGCAATTAGCAATGTATCACAATTGCCAACATTTAAAATTTGAGAATTTTCATATGTATATATCTGGATTTCCAATTAATTTGGGGGGAAAGGGGAGTGGTAGAAGATAAGCAATACTGACCCTGCATTTCTGCATGGTAGCAACTAGAATAATTGAATGTCAGATGTCTTACTTTTAGTATCAAATAGTAAATGAATGAAAGCACTTAAAAATAACTCCAAAATAATATATCAGAGAACATATTTTCATAATGTATTTTGTGATAACTTTAATTTTACTCTGTGTATAGGGTACTTGGCAAAAGCTGGTGGCTATTTGCTACTCAGAGATGAAACTCAAGTCATGCTTGAAAGTAAGTATTGAAGTTATAATGAACCTTTATGCAAGGGTCTAAATACAGTTACTTACTATTTGTGATTACTTTCATACATGAGTTCTATAATGGTGCCAGAGATTGTTGTGGTAGGTGGTTAGGGAGGAATCAATGGAAGGACATGGGGCATTTTTTCTCTTTCCTCTTTCCATCTCTACTTCTTCCTCCTCCTCTCCACTCTCTTTCCTCTTTCTCCTTCCTCTGCTCCTTCTCTCCCTCCTCCTCCCTCTCCTTCTCCCACTCCTTCCCTCTCCCCATCAACTCTTTATCTCTCCATCTAATCCTCTCATTATTTGAAGTCTAAGCTTCATCCTAGAGTTCTTAGAAACTGCTAACAGCAGAGGATTTTCTTTCACTCATTCATCCAGTGAATACTAATCCCGTATCCACTATGTGACAGCACTATTCTAACTGTTGTGGTTACAGCAGCAAGCAAATCAAAGTCCCTTCCATCAGAGGATAGCAATGTATACTTCACCAGAGGGGATTAAGAAAGGCAATGTTTATTCTATCAAAAATATTTGGGTCCTTGACAGTTCTCTCTTAGCCTCCATTTCCCCTAAGGATCAGAATTACACACTTAAGAGATTGAAAATGTAGCTGCTGCCTTTCTTCCTTATATTTGTAATAGAGTTTGTTTTTTAGAAGCTAAGGTTTACAACAAAACTGCGTGGGAAGCATAGAGATTTCCATATACTTCCTGTTCCATATCTTTAACCCCTTCTTTTTGTCAGTATCCCCCCACAAGAATGAATCAGTTATTACAACTGAGCAACCTACATGAACACATTATTATCTTCCTTCCTTCTTCATTTCTCACTTCTTCATTCACCTGTCTATTCGTACATGTTTACTGAATGCTCACTAAAGTCTAAGCACTTTATTCTCCCTCCGTGTCTCTCTTCCTCTCCCTTTATTCTCTCCTCTGCTCCTTTCTACCCCATCTCTCTCGCTTTCATAAATCTGTCCATTACTTCCATGATTTCCTCTTATTAATAAAAGTACTAATTTCCCGACCCTCCCTGGTGGCCAGTGGGTTAAAGCACAGCACAAAGAAGCTTAAACCACTTCCCCATGAGTTCGATTCCTGCCTGCCCCGGAGGTGATCACATGGCGCGGCAGACCTCTCCTGACCCGCCCGCTGCTCCCCTCAGCAGTGTACTTCGTGGATCTGCCTGTTCTGCCCCCCACTCTGTGTCTGGTGAATTCTCTCACCCTCCGCATCTCTGACCTGTACCCCAGTTCTGTACGAATAAATAAATCTTAAAAAAAAAAAGTAATAATTTCCCTCAAGTGCAGTATTGTGTTACAATGGTATTAGCATTTTGATAGGCAGATAGGTGGGTAGGTAGGTAGATGATAGATAGATGATAGATAGATAGATAGATAGATAGATAGATAGATAGATAGATAGATAGATAGATAGATAGATAGAATCCCCGATTTTTAAAAGAACGTAAGCTATTAAATACTTTTAAACCATGATAAACATTTTATAATGTATTTTATTTTTTCATGTGCCATAAAATATTTGTACGCCAAGGGTCTACATCATCATGTTAATATGTACATGCTATTTAATTTTATGATATTTTAAGCAACTTCCCATTAGTTAACTTTAGACTGACTCCTACTTTTTTCATGATTATGAGCAATGTTGAATTCTTCATGAATATATGTTATTCTAGCTAGCAAAATGCTCAGCACATAATGGTCACTCAGTAAGTGTTTAGAAAATATTTCATTTTTCTTATAATGATGCCTGGTAGGAAGAGAGGATACAACCTACTGGGTTCTATTAGTCAAAGAAATGAAGATCAAAGAGTGGGAGGGGGAGAGAAGTGGGGTCTCTATGAAGGGGAAGCTCAGGGTTAGAGCTTCTGGAACTCTATGAGCAATGCTTTGAACCAAGGGCTCTTCTGCCATTACAGTTATAGAAGGCATGCTGACGGATAAGGACCCCGTGATCAAGATGTTGACACTAAAAACTCACAAAGTGATCAAGGAAATACTTCACAAAACTACGTCCTCAAATTTTAAACAAAGCTTCCGAAGATTGTTTAATGTCATTTATGTAAAAAAACTGAAGCCTCTTTATTATTTTAACTGGACAAGTGAAGTGAATGACAACTCTGTGGGGAGTAAAGAAATCAAAAGTGATGAGCAAGAACTGGTGGATGTGAAGTATGAAAATGGAAATAGTTAGTGGTGTCCTATTGACTTGGAGCATGCGTAGCTCAAAAGAGGAGTAATTTTCCTCCCCCCCCCAGATAGCTGCAGTCTATGTAAAGATGTCTTTTTAAAGGATGCTATAAGATTTTATGGATCCTTCTAAATTCTCCATTCCTCATTCCTCTGAGAAATCTGTTTCTTACATCTGAGGATGGTCAGAAGTCATACCTCATCAAATCCACCAATAAAACTGAAAAATCTATAAAGTGTTTGATGAGAAATATTGGGACTTGACTCAATCAATAAGCTTCTACTAAATGTCTCATAAGTGCTAGACTCTTCTTTGCAATGGGGACATTTACACACCACAGGTTCCTTGGTGAGGCTGCAGTTCAGTGCCACACAGTGTGTTTATTTCCATCCTGCTGCAGGAATGCTACATAGGGCAGTGTTCACCAAAAAGGAAATGAAACTTCCTTAAAAGAGGAAAGGGAGCAGGGCAACTCATTCCACGTGGGACAAATTGTGGCAAAAAAAAAGAGTGTTGGGGCAACTGGAGAATTAAGGAAAACAGAAACACTGACATTAGAGGGGATGATTATTCTCTGCTAATTGGTCCAAGCTTGTTCCAATGAGCAGCGGGTGGTCAGTCATAGTTAGTGACTCCCATTGTCATCAGGGTCCAGTAAAACACTGTGTCTGGCACCTGCACCCCCATGTTTATTGCTGCTCTATTACAATAGGAAAGATGTGGAATCAACCCAAATGCCCAAAAGTAGATGATTAAAAAGATGTGGTACATATACACAGTGGAATATTACTCATTGATCAAAAAGATAAATACATGCCTTTTGCAGCAACATGGATGGAGCTGGAAGGGATCATGCTTAGTGAAATAAGCCAGAAAGAAAAATTAAAATACCAGAAATACCGGATGATTTCTCTCAGAGTAGGAGCATAAAAGACCAGGGGCAGTGTGGGAGAAATAATAATGAACAACTATATACCAGAGACATTTTACTGCGGTGGAGTGGGGAATGGGATCAAAAATGGGGCAGGAAGGGGAACTGCACTAGACTAGGGTGATGGCACACAAGTGATTTGGTGATGGGAAGCCCACAGGGATTACAACTGAGATGGAAAAAGGCACAAATGAATTATTATAAAAGGTACAAAATAAATTATTATATTAAAATTTAAAAAGAAAACACTGTCTAAGAGGTTAAGAAAACTGGTACATAAATGTGGTTTAAGTTATTATAGTAAATATATAATAATCATGCCAATTTTAAATGTCCATAGTCATTATCTTTGGTTAAGTTTTATGTCCTTTTCATGTAACTATTTTTTAAAGATTTATTTATTTATGCACACAAGAACTGCAGTACAGGCTGGAGGGGTTGGGGGTGAGAGGATCCACCAGAGACAAAGTGGGGAGCAGAACAGGTGGATGTACTGAATCACACTGCTGAGGGGAGCAGCGGGCAGGTCAGAAGAGGTCTGCCACGCCATTGGGTCACCCCCTGGCTGGGTATTGAACTCCTGACGTGCTGCTGTGGCTGCAATAGATTCATAGTGGTGTTTTAACCTGTTGTGCCACCAGGGAGGACCCTCATGTAACTATTTTTTATTGAGGCAATTGATTTACAACACTATATAATTTAGAGAAACAGGTTCACACCTCTTCAGATGGGTGTCACTATACACCCAAAGTATGCAACTCCTCCAACATACACCATTGGGCCCCCTCCCCACTTTGGCCCTTACCCGCAACACCCCCCCTCTGGTATCTTCACTTCTGCAGTCATATTTCTAGGATTTGTTTCGTTTGGTTTTGTCTGTTCCTCTGCTTTTTGTTTCTTTATATTCCACATATGATTGAAGTCATACAATATTTTTGTCTTTTTCCTTTTGACTCATTTCTCTTAGGATAAGTCTCCCCATTTCCATTTACATTATAGCAAATGCTAATATTTCATCTCTTTTTACAGCTGAATGATAACCTTTGTGTTATAAAACATCTTTATTCAGTCACCTATCATTAAGCACTTAGGTTGTTTCCATAACTTTGTTATTGTAAATAATGCTACAATGAAGACTTAAATGTTGATCTCCAGCAATTTTGCAAGCAGCAAGCTTGGTGCAGTTCTGCTAACACCTTGACTTCAGCCCATTGAAACCTATTTTCGATATTCAAACTGCAGAATAAATTTGTGTTGTTTTAAGCTTGTTTGTGGTAATGTGTTAGCACAGCACCATGAAACAAATATACTGCTACTAAAAAACAAACAAACCCATAACAGAGAAAGAGACATAGCAATAAATGTAGTGAACAAATTAAACAAGGTTTCTGTACTGCTATTCTGTGACCTTTATGTTTAAATACCATCTTCAAATTCCCTTAAGTCATACCACCTGCAGAGATTTCTCCTTCAGCTTTCAAACTGTAACAGGGTGGTCCCCAGAACAGGGTGGTCCCCAGAACAGGGTGGTACCCAGAAAAAGGGGAAGTTCCAGGTTCCCTGCCCCACCCAGAAGGAGGGTGGAGCTGAGCAGAGAAGAGAAGGAATCTGAGGAAGAAGGAAGCCAGAAGGAGACCTGAGGAAGCCACATGGAGCAGCAAGCAAATGATAAAGAAACTGTGCTTGTTTCTTGGCCTTGGACTGGTTAAAACAGATGTGGGTGAGAGACCTTTGGGGAGGTTGACAATGGAGTGTTTATATTGATTTTGATTTTGCTCTTTTCCTCCCAGACTTGTCTGGCCATTTCTGACCCTTTTCTATGGGTCCTGTCCAGAAGGTGTTTTAGTCTAGTGGCGGACTTTCAGGCTTTGCTTTGGGCCAACCCTTTTTGGGTTGACTTTTGCCCATGAGGGGATGGGTAACTGCAGTTGCTTGATTTAGAAATTATATTCTTTGTCTTTCGTATTGTATACTCACTAAAGTTGCTTCTAATTTAAAGTCTTATATGTTTTGTCTTGTTGCGGCAGATAGCAGAATCTATTTAGAGCAGGCAGGTTTGGGGGTTCAGTGGTACCCCCCCTTCCTGCCATGTAACAAAACCACACAGTAGCCTCCTTCATCATCTTTTGATTCTCTCACCAAATTTTTTGGTGGTGGATGGAAACTGCACTTTTGGTGATAGTCATGATACAGTGTAGACAGATATCAAATTATAATGATGTACATCTGAAACATATAATGTTAAAATTAATGTTACTCAAAAAGTTATATCAGAAGCAGGACCAGCTCTGCTTTTGTAAGTCAATGGAAGAATCGTGTCATTGTCTACTGGGGAAGAACATGGGAAGCCACCTCAGCCCAGAGCATACACATCCCCAGAGATCACAGGATTGGAGCTGAGAGCAGTAGCAGAATGAAAATGCTGTCTGCCCTCAGGACAGGCTATGTACTGATGGTCTGGAAGAGCTGTATGTTAGGTCTTCATCTTCCTCCAGAAAAAAAAAAAAAAAAAACTTTTAAGCTCATTTCATCATTTGAAAATGCAATTGATGAGTACCTCATTATGCTAATCTCTCTTGAGATACAGTGATTGCATTTTTAGGAGAGGTGTTTTTATAGCAAAGGGTAATTTAATAGTGTAATTTCATGCTTTAGGGAGCTAGAGGTTTAGAGGGGGGGTTGTATTAATTAGAGTGAAGACTACAACAAAGCTCTCTATAATGCAAACACACACAAAAAAATAGTTGCTTAATTTTTGTGTGCATCTTACCCAAGGTAGGCAAGGCAGAAGCACCGTGCTCTTTGAAGATGACACTGAGGAGGGAGACATTGATGTGGTTGTTACAAGACAACTCAATTGGGTAGCCTGACCGTGAGTCCTCACCTGTGTGCTTTAGATTTAACTGCAGATACACACACAAAAGGTCAATAATGGGTTTATTTACAAGGGAAAAGGGAAATGAATCACTCAGGGGAAGAGAGAGAGAATTTAATTAATGCATCCTACCAGTTCTGCTGACTTGGAACCCCAATAGCACTCTGAAAGCTGGTGAAGAGCCAAGAGATAAGCCGTCAGCCATGAGGCCAAGAGACCTCCTGGAGCCCACATGTCTGGTTTTATTCTAGTCTGGCTTCTCAGCTCCACCTCAGTTCCCAGCATGCTTCTCTTTGGTATTGATGCGATTTGCAGTTCCAGTATCTGGGGTTGGGGTAGAGTCCATGAATCGTATCTGTTACATGGTCACCTTTGCCCTGGTTATTTCTTCTCTTTACCCTACCTTGCGAAATCATCCTTAAAATCCACAACCATAATCAGGTCTTCCTTCCCGACTGCCACTAGGACCGTTTCAACCTTTCAGAATCACTGACCAAGAGCAGGGTCTCAAACACACAAGGACACCTGGGATTCCAGGGTGAGAAAAATGTGATGAGTTGGAACATGTGAGGGTACAGCTTACTGGCCAACACTGTGCCTGGGGTTCCTTGCAGGTGATGCCCATTCTCATGGCTTGAGCCCCCAAAACCCAGTTGAATGCCCTGTTTTTCTTCTTGATGCCGCCTCTTTTAAATCATTTTCAACATAACTCAAGCATGCTCATCATTATGGAAGCAAAGCATATTTAGCAAGTACAAGCTCAATTTACTCATGCTTCCAAATAATCTTGAGCAGTTTCCATGTCTCATCAAGTAGCACTGAATGTTTAATTCATACTTTATATATATTTAATGCCAAATCCAGATAATACAGGTCAAGCCTCATCTGGTCTAAATCCTTTCCTCTCTCCGGTTACACTGACAGTTTTTGCCTGCTACATACAATTGACAGATAACTCCACTACTCACCATCCCATTTCCACACTTTCATGTCCTCATCCAGGGCTTTTCCATCTCACTGAAACTGCATCTAAGACATTCTGACTTTCATCTGTCTGAACTTTTCTATAGACCTAGAGGTCCAGTTCCTGTCTTTGAAATTCAGTAAGCTTTGATCCTCCTGTCCTTCCCCTATTGACTGCCCTTTCACCTTAATTCTTATCTCTGGGGAAGTTTCTGGCACTCCCTCTGGGTCTTT